CCAGGTTAGGATGAGTTCCCGCAGTAGCAGATCCTGTCAGTATATCAATAATTATTATCCTTAGTGTGTGTGTGTGTGTGTGTGTGTGTGTGTGTGTGTGTGTGTGTGTGTGTGTGTGTGTGTGTGCCCCTATAAAGTGGCATCTGCACTAAGTTATTCCTTGGAAGCTGAGAATGTTTAGAAATGCCATTGACCTGACAGGAATTACTGGTGTATTGTTGTAGGCCTACATTGCACAGTGCATAGATTCTTCTCTCGAGAAGGGGCATGTCGCTCTATAAATGGTCATTTTTAAGGACAAGTGGGCTAACCCAGATTTAGAGGGTTTCCAGAAATCTTGATCTACACCAAAAGTGGGCATTGCTTACCTATAGGAGAAGTTTGGTTTCATTGGTGTGTATATTAATTGTTTGGTTATAGAGAAAACTCTCCTTGTCTTTTAAAGAACTTGAACAAGGGGCAACAATTTTACCTTCGATTTTCTCAAAACAGCATTTTTCGGGATAGCCCCCTTGTGCTTAAAAGCGAACAAATAAGGCAATGTATTGCTCTAGATTATGGCAATGTATTGCTCTAGATTATGGCAATGTATTGCTCTAGATTATGGCAATGTATCGCTCTAGATTATGGCAATGTATTGCTCTAGATTAAGGCAATGTATTATTCTAGATTATGGCAATGTATTGCTCTAGATTATTGCAATGTATTGCTCTAGATTATAATCCTATGTTTAGGCAGCTTTGTGCTCGGTACAGTACAGCAGTACTGGCCACAGTCGTGTTGAGTTGACCCATCCCCCACAGCGCATAGAGTTCAGTTTGTTCTGTGTGTTTTGTTTTTGCCACTGCCAAGAATGCATTAATTAATTACGTTGATTTTTGTTTCAACAAATCGTAATATATTTGCTTACAGCTTTTAATAAAAGATAGACTTGTTCCGAACAGTTTTACGAGTTACTTTTTTTCCCGAGATGTTTTTTTGTGTTTGAATTGTTTCGTTCTCTTTCTCTTTCATATATAGATCTATGTGTACATGCATGCGTGTATGTGTGGGTGTGATGGTATGTGTGTGTGTGTGTGTGTGTGTGTGCGTATGTGTGGTTATGTGTGTATGTAGAATGAGAGAGAGAGAGAGAGAGAGAGAGAGAGAGAGAGAGAGATATGGGGTAGAGGGAGAGAGAGTACGACAAAAAGGAAGCTTCACAAAGACACACATACAATACAACAGACAATATACTATGTAACAACAATCAACCAAAAAAACAAACAAAAACGAACCCCCTCCCCTTCCCCCCCAAAAAAAAAACAAAGAAAAAAAAAGGAATCAGAAACGTACTTCCAACAGTTTTATTCAGGTATACATTGCCATTGAGAATTTGTGATTGTTTTTAGAAACATACATGTACTGATTTAAAAATATTCTTTTTCAACAAATTCATTGCACACGTGGGCTAGGTCAATAATTGTCTGCAGCAATAAGCACAGGGTGATCCCCCCTCACAAATAAAACAACAACAACAACTGTACAATCTTTTTTTTTTTTTTTTTGGTTATTATTTTTCTCCGCACTGAAGTTTTGTCTTTCAAATTTGTACACAACATTTGGAAGTCAAAAGGAATGTGTCTCATATTCATTTTAGATAAATCCACAGAATAGTTTTGCTCTACATAGCACGTAAAAAAACAACCAATTTTCAGCCATGTCCCCATTTTTGCAGCATGACGTAGTAGTTCGCATAAGGGATACTACGTGTACTGAAAATCCCAATGATTGCGTCAAATTGCAAACTACAGTAGTCTAAATGGCCAACAGAAGTTAGCCGACAGTTTTTCTCAAGTTGCATTTGCCTGCTGATGTCATAGCTAAGATTAGTAAAGAGCAGAGAGTTTTTTGCATTTAACATTTCCTTACCACCAACTCATTTCGTAAGTTTTGCACAAGGTACGGAAATCTTTAGTAGCCTAGAAGATTGGAATTCACTGTTCGCTCTGGCCTACCCGAAAAAAAAATTGCAAAACTCCAACGTATTCAAAACAATGCTGCCAGGCTAGCATTAAAGCAATCAAAACGCCATCATGTGACTCCCCTACTTAAAGAGCTCCATTGGCTTCCACTGAAAGCGAGAATTGAATACAAGTTAGCCCTACTATGCTTTAAGAGTCAAACTAACCAGTCTCCCACATACATTCAAGAACTCATTGTACCATACACACCATCACGTGAACTAAGATCCAGTGGCTCTAGACTAATTTCAACACCTCGTGTGTCACTGAAGAAATACGGTGAGAGAGCTTTTTCTTTTTCTGGGCCAACAGTTTGGAACACTCTCCCTCATGATTTGAGGAGCGAAATAAAACTTGGTACTTTCAAAAGGGGACTCAAAACACATCTATTGAAGAAATATTTTAATTAATGGACAGTACGTCTTTTTGTATGAGCATTTTTTTATTGTCTGAAAGAATGTTGCTGTCAAAAAGTGCGCACATGATGAATTTGTATGGAGTTAGTATGAATGTGTTTTTCATCTCCTATGTACGCCTTGGGCCCATGCTGTGGGGAAAGGCGGGATACAAATGCTCTTATTATTATTATTATTATTATTATTATTATTATTATTATTATTATTATTATTATTATTATTTTTAAATAATATTAAACTGTCCTTAAGGCCTTCTTTGATGTCAAGGGTGGAAATGGTCCATCAGTTAGGACCTGTAGAGAATCAGAACTAAAAATTCCCAGACAAAACAGCCACTTCAGGTCAAACAAACACCGTTCGCACCCTATAAACGTCATCAAGGTGCAATTCAGTAGGTGAGCCCCATGAGACGTCTGTCCGCAGACGATGTCTGCAGCAATGACTTTACTACATCTCAACGGCCCGCGTTGTCAAGGCAGATCTTAGTCTTTGACTGTACCATTTTTCCGTTCACGAAGCTATCAGAGGATAACGATGTGCTTATGACTCCTCGATCGTCTTGAAAAGAGTGGACATTTCCACTATGACATTTTTTGGTTTTTGGCAAAGCCCATATTCACCTTTCAGGTTATATCAACTCCACAAATGCTGTCGATTTGGGCAACCTCACCCCCCCCCCCCCAAATTGTCTCTAGAAACAGCTCCATACTGTAAGGTGTCCAGTGTGTGTGGCTTTGAGCACTCATGGTTGAGTGGATCCTTGTGTTTGGCCACCCCTGAACATTACGAACGATGTGTTAAAATGTGTCGAGTCCAAAGGAGGTCATAGACCATTGATTCTCGGAATTCCAAAATTTAACAAATACGTTTTTAACTCTGTAAGAGAACAGAAATATTGTTTACGGGTTACAGGGATGGAAAGATTAGATGTTAAAAATGAAAGGAAAGGGAAAAAAAACCCAATCATTTCATGACTTTCTTTACAAGATCTTTTAAATTGGCGCATTTTGCATTTATAGTTGGTTTTTATAAAAGCGATTTTCGTTTCCAAAAATACATTTCTTCTTCGTGAATTCTATGTCAAACAAATTCCTTTTGAATGAATTATATCTGGAGCAAATTGCAACATTCTTGTACAAATTTTGTGCGAGATATTTAGAAAAAAAGTTGTACAGTTGTTGTATTTTTTATCACCCTGTAATTGACGTTTTGGGGTTCTGTGCTGATTATCAAAGCTGTGATTAGCAGAGGTGGGGGATCATCTGGTGCCACATGAAATAATGATATTGCCATAGAATTACTGCCAATAGTTTGGTGACCTACTAAGCATGAGGGCCCTTGAAGACTGCAAATTTTCATGTTTTTCGTGCCTTTAATCCACGTTTTTCCTTTAGAATCGACACGATTACCTGTAGCTACTTGTTCTATGAGCCGTCCAGGGTTCCTCCAGATGCCATCCACGAATTTATTTCTACAGATATTTCTTTTTTTCATGAAGGTGTTTTTCTAAGCCCCCATCGACACAGTTCAGATCATGATTTAGGAGGCGGGGTTTCTAACCTGGCTAATAAGGGTTAAGAACAGGGCCACAACATTCCCGGTAGAAAGATCGAGCGAGATACGCGAGAACAATCCACCCCACTCTGGAATCGAACTCTGGTCTCCTTTGTGCAACAACAACACACCTAGCCGCCACACCACGTGACAGAGGCCGGTACAGAGAGGTCGCGCCCTATTGTACCCTTCAGAGAGGTCGCGCCCTATTGTACCCTTCAGAGAGGTCGCGCCCTATTGTACCCTTCAGAGAGGTCGCGCCCTATTGTACCCTTCAGAGAGGTCGCGCCCTATTGTACCCTTCAGAGAGGTCGCGCCCTATTGTACCCTTCAGAGAGGTCGCGCCCTATTGTACCCTTCAGAGAGGTCGCGCCCTATTGTACCCTTCAGAGAGGTCGCGCCCTATTCCTAAACCTGTAGGCTTGTTCTTGACAGGACGACATTTCGGGAAATCTCTTCTTCTTTTTTTTCCTTGCTGTTTTTGTGTAAGATTTTCATAGTTAATTTAAAGACACTTTTCTGGAAATCTCTTTTTTCTGTTTTAGTGTAAGATCGTCATAGTTAATTTGAATTTAAAGACATTGATGGAAATCTCTTTTTTTCTGTTTTAGTGAAAGATCGTCATAGTTAATTTAAATTTAAAGACATTTCTGGAAATCTCTTTTCTTTCTTTCTTCTGTTTTAGTGTAAGGTTTTCATAGTTCATTTAGAGAGTCTCCAAATTTTTCTTAGGGAAAACAACGGAGATTCGTTTTTTAATAAGGCTTTACGGCGCTCGGAACTGCTCAAGGTCATAATACTATGAGCGCCAAGGGGTGGATGTCAACAGAGAAGTTCAAACAGGGAATCAGGCTTACTCTGTTCACCTCTCTAGCCTAAACAGCACAGAGTCTGCTTCGACTATCAAGACAGATGTGTTTTATTTTCATCGACAGATAGTCAAACGAAGAAGCTCTAAGATGATACTTATAACTCCACACGCCCTCACAATTGGCGAACACCTGATTCCACCACGTCGTACAACATTTTATTTATTTATTTTATTTATCTGAGCAGAAGCCATGTCGACACTGTCCATGAAATCATCGGAGGGACTGTCGCTCTCAGACACCGATCGGCTGGTTTGTGCGGGCGTCTCCTCTCCATCAGCTGTTCCCGGGTTTTCGGCGGGGGTCGGGGAAGATGGCGGAGTGATGAACTCTTCGGGGGATAGTCTAGTTTCTCGCCACTCGTGTTCAGGAGGAGGGAGAGGGTGGGGAGGAGGGAGAGGGTATGGAGGAGGGAGAGAGGAGTGGGGAGAAGGGAGAGAGTGTGGAGGAGGGAGAGGGTGGGGAGGAGGGAGAGGGTGTGGAGGAGGGAGAGAGTGGGGACGAGGGAGAGGGTGGGGAGGAGGGAGAGATGAGTGGGGAGAAGGGAGAGAGTGGGGAGAAGGGAGAGAGTGGGGAGGGGGGAAAGAATGGGGAGGGGGGAGAGGGTGGGGAGTGGATGGCGTTCCTGTAGCGGAATCTTCTCTGTCTTGCCTGAGAGGCGTTGACGGTGGAAGTGTGAGTGGATTGGCCTTGCTGAAGGTGGACATTGAATGGCTCCCTTTTTGGCTTGCCAGTAACGGAGGAGGATGAGGAGGAGAAAGAGGAGGAAGAGGAGGAGATGGGGGAGAAAGAGAAGGGGAAGGGGGAGAAGAGGGAAGAAGACAGGACGTAGGAGTGGATGGGGCGATAATGTCCCTGTGAAGAGCTCTACCCGTGTCCGTCTGGTGTGTCTGTGGCTGGTGACAGGGACATGAGGTGGTGGGGGGACGGTGGGGGAAGGCCGAGCTTCCAGCGGAGCCTTTTTCATCCCTAGCCTGGGTCTCATCTTCATCAAAGGGTGGGACTGTGCAATTTGGGGAACTTTTATCTCTTTGATGTTTGATCGGAGAGTGACATCGACGGGGAGGGGGGCGCAAAGTAGGAGAAGGAGGCCGGGGAGGAATAGGAGGGTGAGGGTGGCGAGTGTGAGTATGACAGGAGGAAGATGAAGAAGAAGGAGGAGGAGGAGGAGGAGGAGGAGGGGTGGAGGGACAAGAAGGAGGAGGAGGAAGAGGACGAGGAGGAGGACAAGAAGAAGGAGGAGGAGGAGGAGGAGAGGGAGGAAGACTTGAGAGGCGAGGGGAGGCGGGGAGGTGGTTGGCGGACAAGCACTCTGCCAGGCTGGAAGAGCGTAACTTGACCACGTGACTGAGTGCCCGAACCATGCTGTGCACGCTCGGGGAACTGGGGTCACCGGGGCGAGGGTCAGGGGTCAGGTCTTGAAAGAAGGTCACTGACCCAACACAGGCGCGCTGGCCATGTTCGCTGGACAGCTGGATGGTTAGTTTGTTGGTGGGTCTGTGGGAGAGGGGAGGGGTGGGGACGGTCACGAGTTAATTGTTTGTTTGTTTGTTTGTTTGTCACTTTGTTGGTGAGTCTGTGGGAGAGGGGGTGGGGGTAACGTTCAGGGATTAGTTTTTCGTTTGTGTGTCTGTTTGTTTGAGTGAAGAGATGCACATGGACACAATAATGGTCATTTAGTGCTGGAGAAGAGTGCATAAGGTCATATGAGCGCCAAGTGGTGGATGTCCACAGAGAAGTCCAAACGGGAAATCAGACTTACTCTGTTCACCTCTCTAGCCTCAACAGCACAAAGTCTGTTTTGACTATCAAGGCACCCCGGAAATAGCAGTTCACAAGAGAGTGACAAGCATACAAAAGAAGTAGAGGAAAATGACGATAGTAAGGATGAGGAAAGAAAAGGCAGCAGTTCCCCCTATATTGTTCCGGCACAGTATTAGCATGACATAGATAAATCTGCCCATTTACAATTCTACTGCACATAAGAACT